GCTACTCAGGAGGCTGAGATCTGAGGATCACGGTTCAAAGCCAGCCCAGGCAGGAAAGTCCATGAGACTCTTATCTCCCACAAACCACTAGAAAACCGGAAGTGGTGCTGTAGCTCAAGTGGTAGAGTGCTCGCCTTGAGCTGAAGAGCTGAGGGACAGGGCCCAGGCCCAGAGTTCAAGCCCTACTGACAAAAAAAAAAAAAGGAACTTTGAGTTCTAGTATCCAATCACAGTGCTTAGTCTGGCCAAATGTTTGATATTTAAGAGTTAATCATGGATGGGTTGGAGGGGTGTGTGGCTCAATGGTGCTTGGAATGCGCGGAGCCAGAGTTTAAAATCCAGGGCTTAGGGAAAAGTCTTTGAACCTGAGCACTGCCATGCCTGGAAAGCTGCAGGGACAAAAAACATCTGTGATTGTAAAGCACTGAAGATACTGGGCTGGGAGTGTGGTTACCAGGTAGGAGGCTGCTCAAATAGTCTGGACAGGACTTGGAGAGAAAGTCTAAACTAATGGTGATTGAGAGCTGCTTTCTGCGGAGCCCCTGAATTACAAGAGAAATGCTTTTCAGCTCTCTCCATCTTGTACACGTCTCTTCCTGTAGCCATTTTCCCTGCGGTCAGTATGCTGCCATGCTGGACTCTGAGAAGAACGGAACTTATCACCATCATAGTAATAGGAACTTCAGAGCTTCCACAAGACAGACCACACTCCAGACAACAGCCTGACCAGTGATGACAGGAATGACAACTTGTAAACCCTTCCCAAAATGACATAATGATAAACCAGATATACCTCATCTAGGACCATTATGCCCATCTCTTTCCCTTATGCCTGTTATAAACACTAAGACAAATGTCTGTAGGTCTGAAGACATACTGAAATGCTATCTTCCCATGGCTGCCATATAGAAAATTTTTCTCTGCCCTTCACCGCGTGTCTATTTGCCACTTAGAGGCAATCGGCCAGACCTGGCATACAGAACTCCTGGCATTTGCATTTGGGCCTGGGGTCTACAAATTCCTGTTTCAGCTTTGAAAACTGGCCATGATGAACAAGTCTTGGTTATCAAAAGTGTCAAGGAAATTCGTCAAGGATGAGTTTTTTACTTGTAAGGACAAGACTGATATCAGCTATAGGAGGAATAACAAATTATGAGTAAAAAGATACTTAGAAACTACTTTTGCTAAAAAGCACCAACTCCTTACTTTGAGGCCTGCAAAGTAACTAAAACCAAGATAAAAGCTGAACAGGCATCTCTGCCTTTACTTGGTTTCTCCTTTACTTTAGGTCAGACACTTGCATAATTCTGCATGTAGGAATGTTAATTACTCAAGATGTGCCAGATGAAGGCACAAAGATAGGTACAATGGGTATTGTGTCATATTGTGGGTTGAGGGGGTTGAACTCAAGGTCTACATGCTGTCCCTGAGCTCTTTTACTCAAGGCCAACACTCTACTACTTGAGCCACAGCTCCACTTTAGGCCTTTTAGTGAGTGGAGATAGAGCACACAGATTTTCCTGCCCAGGTTGGTTTTGAACCACGATCCTCAGATCACAAAAAGTGCCTGTGATTCCAATCTGCAGTCACATTGGATTCTAGAAATAATTGAACAGATCGCCCACAATGAGGTTATCCTCCAAATGAGCCATCTTCTCCTGGGAACTGAATTGTCTCCTTGAACAATAAAACCTCTTCAAATCTTCACAGAATCAGAACTGTTAGAATGATCAACCAGACCACACTGCCTGGAACTGTTTAGCTATGCATACCTCTTGCCCCTGTCCCAATTCTTCCTGTTTAAACCTAAAGCTTATTTCTGTATCCTAAAGATGAATACTTAATATCATTTGACTACACAACACAGCTATATTGGTTAAAATCCTTTCCTACCTCTCCACATTCCTCTGGCTGTTTTCTTTGGGGCCAGAGGTTCGAACTAAATAGAACCTCAGGAGTCAAGGCTCTGTATATGTGAAAGTGAAAGGACTTTTTAGTCCTTTAAATTGCTATGCAGTCAGGAATGTATTTGATTGCAAGTAAAATTAGAAAGATTTAGCCGGGCGCCGGTGGCTCACGCCTGTAATCCTAGCTACAAAGGAGGCTGAGATCTGAGGATCTCGGTTCAAAGCCAGCCCAGGCAGGAAAATCTGTGAAACTCTTATCTCCAATAAACCACCAGAAAACTGGAAGTGGCTCTGTAGCTCAAGTGGTAGAGCACTAGCCTTGAGCTGAAGAGCTGAGGGACAGTGTTCAGGCCCAGAGTTCAAGCCCCACAACCGACAAAAAAGAAAGAAAGATTTCATTACAATCTAGTAAATATACGGTCACAAAACATCTACAGGTAGGCAAAACCTTTGTTGACTCAAAAGCTAAAGAGCCAACATTTTATTAATTCTCTGGACATTTTCCTCAGGGTTGCAAGCTGTCCACAGGAATTTTAGGCTTTGTGCCCTTCTTTAAGGCAGGGGATTGGGAAAGTTATTTTTTTCAGGACAGCAAAAGCTTTTTCAGGACCCTACCTCAGCAGTGATTTGGCAAACTTCCCCAGACATCTCACTTCCCAGAGTCCAATCTGGCCACCTGTAGCTGCAAAGATTGTTTCCAAGCTCTAGCTCTGCCTTGCTCCCACATTTGTCAGGAACAATCCTAAATAAAAGGAACCCTCAGCTGGAAGCTTGAGGCAAAAGCAGATAGGGTGAGTAGCTGTAAATCAGCTACACCCCGGTAGCCTGTAGTAAGTCATGCATTGAAGGTTAATCCTAGTCACATATCTCTGACTGAAATGGGCACCTGTTAGACAATCTGCAGCTTTCTAAGCATAGGCATAGGATGCTTGGCTGTAAATATGTCACCATTGCATATTCATTCCCCATTTTGTTTCCTTCAACAGGGAAAGATGAAAGGCAGGAGAGAAAAGAAGGAGGAAAGTAGGAAGGGAGAATATACATCTATATGTATATATAGGAAACTTTTAAATTATACATAGAGCTGGGCACTGGTGACTCATGCCTGTAACTCTAGCTATTCAAGAGGCCTAGGCTGACATGATTCTCAGATCTCAGCCTTCTGAAATGCTAGAATTTCAGGTGTGAGCCACCAGCACTCAGCTGCATTTCTTTATGACAGGAAAGTAAAATAGAACAATGAAATTGTTTTAATAGGTAAGGGGAGAGTTACAGGGGGAATTTGATGAGGTACATTGTATGCACATATGGAAATGTCACAATGAACCCCCCTTTTGCACTAATACCAATAAAAGTCTAATGAAAATATTAACTTTTTACAATTAAGTCTTTAGAGACTTACATTTAAGTCTAACCCATTTTGTGTTGGTTTTTATTATTAGTGGAATAGGAATCTAGTTTCATTCTTCTATATGTGTAAATCCAATTTTTCCTGCACCTTTTGTTGAAGACTGTCTTTTAGCCAATGTGCTTTTTTTTTCCTTTTGCCAGTCCTGGGGCTTGACTTCAAGGCCTGGGCACTGTCCCTGGGCTTATTTTGCTCAAGGCTAGCACTCTAGCACTTGAGGCACAATGCCACTTCCGGCTTTTTGTTTATGAGGTACTGAGGAATTGAACCCAGAGCTTCACACACTCTGCCACTAAGCCACATTCCCAGCCTGCCCAATGTGTTTTCTAAGCAAGTTGTCAAAAATAAGTTGGGTGCAGATGCATGTGTTTATTTCTAGGTCCTCTATCCCTTTCCACTGGCATAACTTCTGCAGCATTCTACCAGAGAGCCACATTCCCCAGCCCTAACTTATGAGTACTGAATCATTTCTCTGAATTTTCTTGAAGTTTTTTCCTTAGAACAGCTGCTTTTAATTCGCCATACTAATTACTGTCCTGTTATTTTCCGGCTTTATTCCTGTTATTTTGACATTTAGTTAAGGTCATGGTTTCTTGAAAGCACTTGATGTGTTTTGATGTATTACATCATCTGAGCATTGAAGAATTAGGTATTTATTCCACTCTTCATCTGGCCTTATTGGTGCATGTCTTTCCAGAAAGCATGTCTTTCCAGAAATTCTACCCAAGCTATGTTCTCTGAGTCACTTGCACTATTTCAGGAATGGATGTTGTCCAAATTCTATAATAGACTATTGAGTCTGCTTAATGTGTTGTCATTCTTTCAACACTAGAGGGTGATGCAAGCTCAGGTTCTCAAACCAGAAGGAACTAGGGAATTACCTAGAAAGGGCAGTCCATAGCACAAGGCTTACTGGGACCACATACTTCATCCATGCTCATTGGCTAACAGTCAGGCATTGTGGGATGGTGCCCAGCGTTGGGCGGAATCATTGCATGAACGAGCCCCAAGGTCCTTTGCTACCTGTTAGCCACAAGTACCACCAGGCTGGGTAACCCTGTGAGTCCACAGTCCAAGACCACCCAGACTAGCCCCCCCACCCCAGAGTGGAAGGACAAAGGTCTACAATGTTATGGGCTACCTACTGCTGAGGTAGACTCATGGCCTGAGCTGTTGTAACCACCCAGGGCACTCTGAGATTTGTGTGTGTGTGTGTGAAAACCTCTGTGGCTATCAGGATGAGGTGGGAAGTTAAAGGCATGGGGTAGCTGATCCAGTCTACTACTAGGCTTATTATGTTTGTTTCTAGTCAATGCTTGTGAAAGTCTTGGGACTTTGGGAGTAATAGACAAGCAAGTTAAATGTAATGAAGTCACACCAGATTTTTCACTGTTGCTATAGGAACCCTTCTCCTCAAACCATCAGATACCAGAATGTGCATGGAAAGATTACATCCATACACTGTTAAATTTTTAAAAGAATATCACTCACAGCTTTTGTACATAAAAAGCCCTTTGTGTTCATGATATACTGAAAAGTGCACTACAAATTGTAAGCAGGAATGGGAGCTTCGGGGAAGTAACGGGTAGAAATGAAGAGTCCAGTGTCAAACCTCTGAAATTCATTCTACATGTCCATGCTGTTCATGAATAGATGACTACACTTTAAAAAATAAATCATGAACTTTTATTACCCTCAACAGCAGAAGGGTCCAGCCCGAGGCTTGTGGGCACTGAGCTGCCCAGGATGGCGGGCAAGGCTGGGGGCAGCTCCTTTGTCCCATGCCCTGAGCATTCCACAGGCACCAACTCCAGGGACCAACAGGGAAGACACCCAAGCCACTCTCCTGCCTGGAACTGGCCCAGCCCCAGGCAGCACCTGGGAAGACAACCCACCCTGCTGGGAGTCAGCTGGCCATGGGAAGGGATGAGCATCCACAATGTGATGACGGCCCCTCTGGGTCTATATCCTGACTTTCATCCCATCTTCCTCTGCTCTTCCAGTGCTTGAGGACCCCCATCATTCCGAGTCTGAACTTGAACTTGACTTGGAAGACTTATGCTTCTGTTTTTTCTTCTTTTTCTTCTCTTTCTTCCTTTTTTTATGTTTTTCCTTTTTCTTCTTTTTCTTGTGCTTCTCTTTACACTCAGAGGAGCTGGAGCTGCTCCCATCCTCATCTGAGGTGGAATCCTCCAGCAACTGCTTTAACTGCTGTATCCTAAACACCAAACCAGAGGCCACAATCTGTCACTGACAGTGCTTTTCTGTACATAGGTAATTTATCAAGCACCTTTGGGGGAAGAATTGGGAATGACTGTGTCACTAGAGGACATCTACACTCCACTGTCCATTTCTGCACGTTTCCAATCTATCATTTCCAACTGAAAGATTACTGAACCAACACATCCTTACTGAGCTTACCTACTGCTCAATTTCATGGTTGTTTATCTCTAGAACTACACCATAAATAAATTATCAAGTCTAAGAATAAATTTTAAAAGCTCAGATCCTCAGAAACACTGGGTTAGAAACTAACTCACACAAGAGTTAACTGCACGCCACAGGCAGATCCACATATGCATCACCATTATCCACTCCTCACCTGCACTCACAGCTGGGGCACCAAGCCCCTCTCTTGCTTTTAAGCAAACCCCAGAAGGAGGCTGGCCTGCTGCTACCCCTCACCCCCTGCTTTGGGCCTTTTCAGGTGTACTTTCTGCCCTCCCACTATGCACTATTTACGATTAGAATGGAGGTTTCCAACTCAAAGACTATGGGAGGCTGCTCAGGGTCAGATGACCTCACCTCACATCTTTCTCATGCCTTTTATTCTCCCGAATGATGTCATACATGGGGTCTTCATGTGCCTGAGGGCGAGAGAAGAAGGTTAAGCTTCTAGAACTATAAAAATTAGCTCCTATATCACTGAAACCAGCTTCTTTTTATTGTATCATAGAGCTTTATGCTTAACATGTTCTCATCTTCTAAAAAAGTCAAATACCCATTAAGGCTACAAACAATTTCTGAATAGAAAAACAAAATAAGGAAACATTCTTCATCAGCAATGAACAATATAAGTGAACAGTGGTCCAGTCCTGCTATAAAACAGTACTTAGGCTAAGAAGATTGAGGTAGTATTTGTTGACCTATATAGGCTGATGACCAAGAAACAGTGCTCAGTGGAAGAGATGGGCTATGCACTGCCATGTAGGAACGATCCATCTCAAGCACACAGAAAATGTCATGCCAGGAAACATGTAAGTACATGTGCCTGCTGGGGGAGGTGTCAGCATGATCTGCCCCGCTGTGGGGGCATGAGTACAGATCCTACTGTGTGTATGTATCTCCTCTTCAGTCAGGCAAAGGCATTCTTCCATCATTAAAGTAGCTTCAAACATACATACACAACTCTTTGTTTTATGCTTGTTTTCCTAAGCATTTTCCCATCAGGTTATACATTTACTAAAGCCATTCCTAATATCTAAATAACCTGTATATTACAGTAATTAGGTGGGCATGTTTGCCTTTAGTTTTCATTAAACCTATCAGCATATAATAGTTAATATGATGTCTGTAAAAGTGATGTTTATGTGGGTACCCTATTAAATTCCTGTGGTATAAATTCTCAGAAGCTGGATGGTTGAGTTTATTCCTCTTGGCAGAGCAGTTACTGAACAATGAATGATCACTCTGAAAAATGAACCTATTGAAGATGAAATGAAGATTTACTCTCATTGGAGAGTTGATGGACACGCATGTACAAAGACCTGGATTTATTCCTCCATGCAAGGGTGGCAGGGGAGAGCTAATTTGTGTGGTTATCAAGGCATGCTTGGGCCAAGAGGCTTCTGGGAACGCCTTTCTGTGAAAACTCATTTGCTGATGACAATCTGGCTCACAGCTGTCCACCATCTGTGATCAATGTAAATCAACACTGCAGGTTTACTTACTACTCTGAACTGCTCTAACTTTTGGTTGCCTTTGATAAAGAAAGGGCATTCTTTGTCGCCTGTTCGGTGACCATACCGTTTGCAACGCCAACCTAAAACAAAGAAAAAGGGAAATATTTCTGTAAGGCAATGCGGTTTCTCACAGTGAAGTTTTCCTTCCTGAGACTAGATGATGCAGTTCTAAATGCAGAGGCCAACAGTGGGTGACATAAGAAAGTGACATCCCAGAAAACAGGCAAGCCAGCTGCTTCCCACCCAGCCTGTAGCTTTAGAAGTGAATGTTCCCTAACCAGTGTAGATGGGAATTTATCTTTAGTGTGTCTCTCTCTGTCTTCGAGACACTCACACTGCATAACCTTGACTTCTTTCCCCAGGGGCATCCACAGTCCTTTAGTTGGCGCGTGAGCAAGAAACTCCCTGGCATGCTCATTGCCTGGGACATCCGGTATACAGTCTTCCGGCTTAGTCTCGTCTTCCTATGGGAAGGAAAGCACGTGTAAGCAACAAGGGAAAGCACTGGCTTCTGCTTCTCCTGCCCACGACCCCACCACCACCTGCTTGTCCTGCACAGTTGGGCTCAAGGCCATTCTTGATCACTCCAGGAACTGGGGAGAACAGTGACCTGACAGGAAAAACAATGAGACCTCACAGAAGAACCAGAAAGTCAAGACAGCTGCTCCTGGAGGATGACTGTGAGCACCGTGTTCTGATGGGAGTAAGACTCCATCAAAGGTTTCACCACACCAGATGTGTACCAGGCAGGAGCCGGGCATAAGAACTGAATCAAGCCAGGCTACATGAACACTAGAGACAGCCTGTATGTTCTGATGGCTCCTCTTACTGCAGCAGCCCGACAGGGAACTATGCAGGGTCCCTACACTGAGGGCACTGAGACACTATTCTGGAGTATACCGAGGGTGGGGTACACCCCAGCCTGAGTGAGGCAGACAAGGAACATGGCATAGTTCGCAAAGATGCTACCATGAGGGAACCGTGGCAGAGGAGCCCATGGGAGCCTGCACTGCTTCCTTGGGGAAGGGATACTTGGCTGATTCAATTCCTCAGAGACACAAAGCCCCACACAAGGACCTGACACCTGTGGAAAAGGACATAGGTTTCCACAAAATGAGGAAAGAGGCAACCATTTCTCCTACCTAGTTATTGAGGAGGAAATACAGATAGAGTAGCCAGTAACTAATACCACACTCACCTTGATAAGTCCAGGAGGAGGTTTCTCATAACTAGAAGATAAAAAAAAAAGTGAAACTTCAGGAATGCTAATGAAAACACATCTTAGCTGTAAAGTCACAGCAACAGTCGTAGCAAAAACTTATGGCTAGATTATGTCTGCATCAGCAATAAAATAGGATCTGCCTTCAGGATCTTAGTGAATAAACGGGTGCATCCCACATCCTGAAGAAGTGACATAATAATTTACTGCCTGGAACTCTGGATGTTTTCTAGAAGGAGAAGGGAGTGAATGTAGGTTGAGTGTGACACTGTAAATTCCTGGCTAGCTTGGCACGAGAACTGCCCTGCAAGCAGGTTTACAGGAAAAGGCGATGTCACTGACAGGCAGGGCATCATCCATGTGCAAGCACAGCAACATCCACACACAAGCACAATGTCATCTACATGCAAGCACACAGTCAACATGCAAAGCATGACATGAATCATGTGCAAGCATGATGTCCTTTTGCAAGCATGCCATCCACGTACTCAACAATGCCCAGGCTCCTGGGGAGGTGCCTTATGTTCCTATACAGCTGGAGGAGCACAGGGCAGGAGCAGCAGACTCGAGCCCTCCTCTGTCCAGTTGCTGTGCTCCTCAAACCCTCATCACTCTTCACACCTGTGTTGACCAGCCCTGCGTGGCACCCCATCCTGACTGCCCTCATGCTGACTGGTGCCAGATGCAGTACACAAAGGGACGGGGAGCCTTTTCTCCTCTTCCTCAATTACAATGAGCTGTGAGTCTCCGAGTCTCCCAGGGTTTGAGCCTATCTTCCACTTCTGAAACAGCCAGAAGAGGCTGCTGGTCAGCAAGTGTTGAAAATCAGCAGCAGATGCTCAATCTCATTTTTTAAGCATCAACATGTAATCATGTGAGCCAAACACAGTGTGGGAGGTTGCTTGTTTGTCATGAATGCAGGTCAGGAAAAGTGCAGAAAGGAGGCAGACGTGGAATGCCTCCCCTGGGAACTGACGTGTCATCAGGGTACTGAGGCTGCCCTGACACAGTATCTGGACTCCAGAAAATTGGAAGTGTGGAGCCTCAAAATGCTGCAGGAGTGACTCAGGGCCTGCATTTCTGTATTAGAAATTTCTGTATTGCTATTCTTATCGGAAATACCAACACTCAGGAATACCAGTGCTGGGCTACCCACAGGGCCTCAGAGGCATTGGAGGAGGGGAACACTATGGAAATACCCACTAATCCAACAATACGCTATTTTTGCCACACGAGTTGTACAAACAACATATGGCCAAAGGAGCCCAGTTCCAAATTCCTGGAAAGCCTGTCAGTGTTTCTGCACTGGTGGAAAGGGGAGTGAAGAACTGTATGTTTTCAATTCTTCTATTATTAGTAATGGCACTGCCTTAAAAGTGTATCTTACAACTGTGCATGCACAGTTAGAGGAAGACTTTTTTTCCCCCCAGAGGCAAGCAGCCTGGTACATGGTGTACAACTTTAGTCTCAGCTACTCAGGAGGGTGAGGCAGAGGCCCACTTAAGACCAGAGGTTCAAAGCTACATTAGAAGTCCATTGAATTGTGTGTGTGTGTGTATGTGTGTGTGTGTGTGTGTGTGTGTGTGTGTGTGTGTTTTCTTCTAAAAATCATTATCTAGTAAATAAATAGTACATTGCGGAGCAGATGGGAGAGGCTGGGCTGAAGAATGAACTGACAGAGCTGGTGTGGAGGGACATGAGAAAGGACCCTCAAGCTTCTGGAGCCCAAATGTAGGGGGTGGGGAGAGGAGGGGGATACCAGCAAGGAAAAGCGAATTAAGCAAATGGAGAAACTGAGCACCTTACTAGAAACTTGGATGACAACCCTAGAAAGCCAAAGAAATTACCAGAATGCTATCTGGCCCAAACCTGAACAATGTGGTACATTAACACTAGTGATTTAGCAGAGTTTCGTATAGTGCAGTTGTGAGATGGTCACCTTCCAGGCTGTTCTCACTCCTCTCCCTTAGCCCGCACTCTAAATGCTACAGCAAAGATGCAAGATTCAGACATTTACCTTGAAAGCATCTGAACCCAGAGCTATCTGACAACAGAATGTGTAACACTCTCCATATTCTGTGCCCCTGACCACACATGTGAATGGTAGTAATGTGGAGAAAGTACAGGAAGCCAGAGGAGTCAAATCCTCCACACAGAAATGCAGAAGAAACCTCCAGTTCCCTCCCATGCGCCCTTGTGAGTGGACTTGGGTGAAGTAATGCAACTGAATGGCAGAGACCACAGGATAAAAAAGACAGGTGGACAAATCCTTGTGTGCTGTGTCCTGAGGTTCCAGGTACAGGAGGCCAGGGCACTGCCCAGCACACTGTGGAGGCCTAAGGATTACTTTGACAAATAATGAAAGGGATCTCCTCCTAAGGACCATCTGTGTCCATAAAGGAAATCTCCATTTCTGTTCTCTCCCAAGAACAGAATGCCACTGCTCACTATCTTATAGATTATTGAATTCTAACATTTTCTACATATAGAACACACATTTATTGATGGTTCCCCAAGACTGCCTGAGAGGAGGATTTAGTATGTCATATGCACTTACCTCGACATTCAACTATAATGTTCATGCATTGCTTAATTTCCTTATAAGCCCTGCAATGGAAAGACTTAGGAGATCAATCTAAGTTGGGTGCCCATGGTTCACACTTGTATGTAAACTACTCAGAAGGCTAAGATTTGTAGGATCAAAGTTGAAAGCCTGCCACTCAGGCAGGAAAGTCTGTGAGACTCCATTTCCAAAATAACTTTCAAAAAGCTGAGCTGGAGGTGTGGCTTTAATAGTAGAGTGTTAGCAATGAACAAGAAAGCCAAGTAAGAGTTCCAGACCTTGATTTCAGGCACCAGCAAGAGTTAGATTATCAGTTATGTGAAATTATTACATGTATGTTTCTTAAATTCCTGCTCATTAATTCATATTCATTCAATTACATTTGGAGGAAAGAGAAACAAGCTTTTCTGTACCATTGGATATTTAATTTACACTAAACATTATTACCATGGAATGATTAGAAGTTTATTTAAGGGTACACAAAGCCCTCAACTAGCCAAAGTAAACATGTCAGCAGCCTAGCCAGTCTTAATTGTGTGAAGCTGGAAAAGGCCACTGGCCTGGGAATTAGTCAAACACATAGGTTTCACTAGTTTACAGGCAGACATGGCCTGGAAATGGACACTCCAATTTGCTCATTAGCAAAAGTAGTTTATAAAGTCTCTGCTGTCTACAAACTACAAAATAATTATGTTCATAAATAGTTCAGGACATTATTCTGAGCTAGGCTCTGGCAAGGCTCCAACCAACCCAGTTAAAAATCAAGATGGGGAAGCCGGGCGCTGGTGGCTCACGCCTGTAATCCTAGCTACTCAGGAGGCTGAGATCTGAGGATCGAGGTTCAAAGCCAGCCCGGGCAGGAAAGACCGTGAGACTCCTATCTCCAATAAACCACTAGAAAACCAGAAGTGGTGCTGTAGCTCAAGTGGTAGAGCGCTCGCCTTGAGCTGAAGAGAGGGACAGCACCCAGGCCCAGAGTTCAAGCCCCACCACCGACAAAAAAAAACAACAAGATGGGGGCTGGGAAGGTGGCTCAGTGGTAGAGCGCTTGCCTTGAATGCTTGAGGCCCTGGGTTTGTTTCCTCAGCACCACATAAGCAGAAAAAAAAATCCGGAAGTGGCGCTGTGGCTCAAGTGGTAGAGTGCTAGCCTTGAGCTGAAGAGCTGAGGGACAGTGCCCAGGCCCAGAGTTCAGGCCCCATGACCGGACCCCCCCCAAAAAAAAATTAAGATGGGAGTCATCCATAATAAAGTTCCAAAGCATCAAACCTAAACTACCTTGTCACCTGACCTAAGAATCCAGGAGAGAAGAACAGCATCCGAGTTTCCGCACAGATAATTTTCATGTGCTTAATAATAATGTTTCCTGAGCCTTAACCAGAAAGCAAATGCTCTTAATCAGATGTTTTTCTATTGTTCTGCTAATGACACCCCCCTTAAGGAAAGTAACTTTGAAACAAACTTTTTGTTCCTGGCTACTGTTTTCTTCTACCTTTACACAAATATCCTAACACTACTGGAAGAAGCGATGGTTAATTCTACACTCAAACCCAAAACCAGTTCAGATCTTTGGAATAACTGCAGTTATTAGGTCCCCTGACAGTATTAACCACCACCTGGCACCTGACATTGCAAGATACTGGGTTGGGCTCCATTTTGGACATACTGAGGATTGTGAACTCAGGACCTCACCCTTCCCAGGCTAGCACCATACCACTGAGCCATACCTCTAGCCCCCTACATTTGCAGATACAAAAGGCTGGACAGAGCCAGGCTATGAAAAGGTCTCTGAGCACCTGTATTGCTGGGCCCAAGCATGAGCCCTTAAGCACATAGTGGTAAGACATAAAGAGTGGGCTCAGCCCAAGAAGGAAGGCACTTTTCCATCAAAGGTCTCCTCAGATTAACTCAGAGGACTTCTGCGCATAACTTAGTAACTATGAAGCCTAGAAAGTAGATTGGTGAGTAACTTAGAGAACAGTAAACTCAGAAAAGTGGTTAACTATACATTAATTATATATACAAACAAAAACTCAAAGGCTGACAATCTAATTCCCACCTGATTCCTGTATTGGGGGAGCTAGATAGCCCCCCTCAATTAAAACTGCAAGAGGTTATCAATACCCCACACCAAAATATGACACCCTGATACTTTATTTGTAGCTAAAAGAAACTGAGAAACCCAGCACAGTAATCCTAGCTACTTAACAATTTGAAGCCAGCCTGGGCAGGAAAGTCTGTGAGACTCATATCTAATTAACCAGCAAAAAGTCAGACGTGAAGATGTGGCTCAAGAGGTAGTGTGTTAGCCTTGAAGGAGGGGGGGGGGAAACTAAGGGATGGCGCCCAGACCCTGAGCTGAGCCCAAGAACTAGCACAAAAAGAAAAAAATTAAAGAAATCGAGAACCAGCCCTCACTAACCCCTGGACAGGTCCATTTTCTTTTTTTTTTTTTTTT